GTTAATGAAATTTAGATTTCAATAGATCATGTATGTAAGGTTTAGTTTTAAGGTTACTAACATAAAAAAAGTCAATTTATAAAATGGACAAATAAATGTATGATCCAAGAAAAGGCAACAAATCTCCAAGCAAACTTGTGGTTAGGTATCTATCAACTTATATTTATGTGAAGCACAAATTTATCTATCTATATCTATCATCTATCTATATTAGATAACATATATGTATTTATATATACATATATATCCAAATATAAGTACGCACACATATATAGTAACTACCATGGATAACTATAATATAAATTTCCAGATAGTAATGATTTCCCTTGAGAAAGGGAGAGAAATAGAATAGTGTAGGTTATGAAAGAAAAGAGGCTACTGTTTCAGTTATTTATATCACATTATACTATTAAATTCACACAAAGCAAATACGACAGAATATCATTTATTTTTTTTTAACACCTAGATCTGACATTATGGGAATAAGGAAATTTTCTGATTACTTGAAATATTTTATAATCTTTTTAAGTATAGTGAACTGATTTTTTAGCTAGAGTTTTTTAACTTCTTGCTATTTATGTAGATCTCTGTAGGCCAAAGTTTCTACCTTTCTCCATATCACTTTAAATTTATTTAAACTTCTCCTTCCTTTATTTTCCCTTAAAGCATCACACAATCCTCACCACATGCACTGCCTATGCTTCTAGTGCCTTCCACCTGGCAGGCCTCCAAATCACACGAGGAAGAACGCAAACCTGACTGTACAGGGCATCCTGCAGGTCTGAAACCACTGCAAACAGGCATTGAATATTTCTGTTCAAGCATTCAAAATATATGCAATATTAAATTATTTTTTTTAAAAAAGATTCTCTATAGACTTGAGAGAGGTACAGACTATAACACATCTGTGGACTTAATTTAAAAGCTCAGTAAGAGGGCTCTCTGAGAAATAACTTCCTTCCACTGTTACAGGAGGGTAATTTCTGTCATGTGGAGTTGTTCCAAGGATTCAAGTAATGTAAGCAGTCACCATGCAAGTAGCCTGACACATTCAGTGCTAGCAAAGGAGAAACTAGAGTACAGATTTGATTCTTTACAAGCAGTGAGGGTCTGGTGGGTCCTCACATACTTGTTCTCTTTAGCATCCAAGAGTCATAAGCAATGTAGACACTGAAACGGCCATGAGCTCACAAATTACAAGTAAAAATATTCCAAATTTGGAAAAAAAGGCCAACAATTTCACTTAATGATGAGGCCTATTATCTCTGAACCTAAGTTACAGGCTATTGCAAGTTAGCATTTTAAGTTAATTCTGTTAGCACTTAGGGAGTGGAGTGCAAATTCAGAACCAATCTGATTCAAGATCAAGAACACATTTCTTTACATGAAACACTGTGTGGTGAAGCAACGGAATATCTTAGTAAAATATGATTACATATTTTAAAAATCTTAGGGAAATATACTTTTTTCTGCTTTACTTACTGTGACTTTTAAAACATCAGCTCATAAAGGGTAAGATCTTACGAAGCTTCCTCCAACAAATGCAAGTCTCAGGTAATCAACATTATTAAATTCAGGTTTCATCCTGCTGAAGCATCTCAGCAATAGAAGCAAACACAGAAGTAATTCTGAAGGACTAACTCGTAGAGCATTGAATCATACTCTTTCTGGAGATAAGTGTCTTAGGATAAACGAAAGGAAGCAAAGGATGTGAATAATTTGCTATAGAAAAGTAGAAAAATGATAAGCACACTGTAGAAATTAAACCAAATCATGTTTCAAAAGTTTAATAGATTTTATAAAACTGAACTTGCAGTACTGAATATGAGTTTATACCTTTGTAACGTAAATGGTCTTGTACATTTAAATAATTATAGATTGCATGCCAAAAATTACAATCAGTTTGATACTAATTTGAATATGTACAATGCAATTCAAGCATAAATTCTGAAGTCGAGTTCATAGACATGCTATGCAGTCAAGCTAAACCCTCTTCATAGTATGGACTGGCAGAAGGTTTCAAAATACACATAAAATGTAATTCGACTTCACCATGACCCCCATCTCCCACCAATAGAATATTATGTGAACCCATCTTGTCAAAAAAGGCATTTAAATACTGAGACAACTGAATGATTTTCATAGTATTTAAATCTATAGGTAGATGAATTTAAAACCGCATAAGAATTTTTTTCAGAAATAATTAATGATAAAATATTATTTTTCATTTGATATATATTTACAAAGCATACTCACATATTGCTGAAAAGAATAAATATTTAAATTGAAGATAGGCATTATCAAAATAATCACATTTTAAAATTTACAATATTTTGATAAATAGAATGAAATTTTACTGTAACAAGAGCTATCTCATGAAAATATTATAAAAAGGGTTTCTTTTCCAGTTGTCAAGTAGAGGAAGGAAGTTCATTGAATACATTATGTTTTGTTTTGTTTTCTGCTAACCGCAACATTGAAGGACTAAACATTATCTTGACTTAAATTGATTTTTACTCTCCATGATGTAAGCTCTCACAATTCCTGAAAGGGAAATACTGAGGTTTATTTTTCTTTATTCAATAAAAAGCATAACTTTTCACTGCTGAGACGTGTCACATACAGACTGAACAAATGTTACATGAAATCATTTAAATAAAGAAGTCCATCAGGCTGAAATATATGAAACAGATGAGTTAGCCTGGAGTGATCTGTGTCAAAATAAATCAGCAAAAGGAGAAGAAAACAATTCTTTATTTTTATCCAAATATATTATACTTCATAATTTAGTTAATTTGCACATAAACTTTACCACATATCATCCAAACCAAGACACTGCAATAGTGAAAGGGTACCACTAATTACACAAATACAGCATATGTAAACTGGAATTTTCCTGGGTAGACTGAAACCTAGAAATAGTTGTTAAACTGCAATTACATGCAGAAATCATACCTTTCCCACACATGTGTGGAAAAAGATAAAATAATATCATTTACATCAATTAATTTTGGCAACAGTAGCTTTTTATCATTTTCATGTCTCTGTTACAATATTACCCACCTCCCTAAGTTAGTCATGTCTTCTAAAATAACTGAGTCTTATTCTATGTTTTCCATGATGCCCTCCTTTTTTCACCTAACTGATTTTGACTGTCTGGTAGTGTATCTTGTGTTTGGTGTCTCTTTCCAACTCTTCTACTGGTATGCACTGTTCATGAAGAGTTATATTGGCCATGCTCAAATTTCCAGGAACTAAATAATGCTTAAGACGTAGAAGGCATGCAAAGATTTTGTTTAATGAATGAATACATTCGGAGAGTTTGTTTTTGGTTCTTCTTCTTGGTACCAAAAACAAATTACAATGACTCTCCAAAATGAATTATGGCTCTGTTTAGTTTTAAGGTGTTGGACTCAATGATCTATGCAGTTTCTTCCACTGCTAATTGATACGCTATGCCCTTTGTCCCTCTTTTTCCATTTCATTTCCTACACTTAGGAAACAAGAAAAATTGATTGGGCAACCATTGGGTTGATAGGGCAAGCACTCTATTCACAGTGGATGAATGCTCACAGTAGATCATTTTGCCAGTAATGATTCCCTGGTATATGTTTGCACCTACAGAATTTGGTTAATACAGAGGTAGCCAGAGATATTATTATAGTTAATAATGGAATTGTTGATGTAATAATTTGCCAATAATAAAATTATCACTAGGTTGCTGAGAGTAGGAAATGATGGGACTAAAAACCAGTTATTAGTTATTTATATATTAATGAAAACTGGATTGATTCTGGACAGATTTACATTGCAATGCCCAAAGAAGTTTTATAGGAAAAGTTGTAGTATATTTATAAGAAGCCCTTCTACACCTTCATAAAAGTCTCTACATTCCAAATCTTTTTCTACTGACCAATAGTTTTGATTTCCAATAATGAATCATGAATATTATTAGACAGTGGGCTTAAAAAAATAGTACTGCTAAAATTATTTGAATAAACGGTAGATCCAAACACCAATAAAATAAGTGTTTGCAAAAGTTTTATAAGATATTTTCAAATCATTTCATTGTAATCTCTCAGGCCTGTTGGAACAGTCTTCCTTAACTGTGAATGACGTGCCTGGGCTGGGGTTCCCAGGTGAAATAAAAGTCTATCTGCTTACAACAAATGCCATGAACAAGAGAACAGCATAAGAAATACACTCAAATAGACATACATATTTTAAGTGTAAGTATTTATCATTTGCTTCATTTTAACATCATGTCTTCTTAAAGATATATTTTTGGGGTCTTTTAAATGAACGAAAGTACCAGAAGAAGAGTAAATATGTTTCTAATTGATTCAATTTGAAATAAAGACCATTAACTATGCAGTTTCACAAACTCTGATATATTCAAATATAACCTGACTACTGACTTAGAATAATTATTTATTCAGAGCTGATATTTGTATTAGGTTATTACAAAACAGATTTACAGATTTTTAATTAGTCCAGGAATGGACAAATTCTCAAATCAATCAACATTTAATTCCCCCCAGCACTAGCAATTTTGAACAAACTGAGAAACTTAAATGATATAGCATAATTGGAGTCCTCAAAATTTAACAAGTTAAATGTATCATTATACTTTTGGAAGGCCATAAATAGCACAAACTTGCATGACTTTCTCATCATAAAGTACAATTGAAAATCTGTGACCTTAAAAACAGCAAAAAAAAAAAAAAAAAGTACATTAAATTAGATTTTAAAATGACAAATAATTTAAGGCTAAAATATTTGGTATTGATCATTAATGCCAGTAGCCTTTCTAGTCTAATAAAGTAAACATGCACAAAAACTACAGTTTTGAACAAAACATCACAATTGTATCAGATATATATGTGTATGTATATATAAATGTCTGCATGTGTGTATGTATATGTATAGTTTTATCACCCTGAAAGCTATCCACTCATGTTTGGCTTAATACATATTTTAGAAATGATGGGGAGAGTACCTCTCCTTTAAATATATATTTATATATATATTTTTTTTTCAGAATGTACATTATAAACATGTCATATATAAATCATGCCATAAAACTAAATGCAAAATTTTCAGATTATTGCATGCTTGATGTGATAATACATGCCCATTAATAACTTCCTCGTGATGTCCTCCCTTCTTAACTTTTGTTTTGTGCACAGTTGCAAAACTTGGGAAAGGAGAGTTCTCAAATATGCTTAATGAACTGGGGGGAAATGAATCTTTCAAATTTCTTAGGGAGGATTATCTCATCGCCAAATATTGGACTATATCTAAAACAAAACATTAAATAATGCCTAAGGGGGTGTCTTGTTAAGTGAAGCGATCTGAGTTCATTTTTCTTAATTTGGCTGGAAGATTTCCTTCCATTCTGGCTGCTCCTCCAGCCATCTTTTGAAGCTTTGGTGGCAAATCAGCCACAGACTGACTCATGGGATCAGATAATATCTTGGTGGTTTTAGATACCAGTTTTTCTTCTGAGTTTCCAGGAACTGAACTTATTCTTTGAAGTTTCATGGGTAAGTCTCCCAAGCTGTAGGCTTTTTCTGAAGTTGTAGAACTCATCCTCAAGAGTTTTTTGGGAAAGTCTTCTCTTCCAGTGATTTTCTGCAGCTTTGACGGAAGTTTTGTAGTAATGTCATCTAGTCCATCTAAGCACTCCACAGAATTGTGCCTTTCTTTGCTGTTAGTTATGGCTGGCGCTATTAAAGGGGATGACATGAGAAGCATTTCTTCCTGCTCTTTCACACTGTAAGGCGGGGTAGGAACTTCAAATGTTGCATGGAATTGAGAGTAATCAACTTTAAAGAATCCTTCTTCTAAAGAAATTACAGGAAAAAAGCGATGACCCCAAAGAACTTCATCCTCAGTGTATGATGTTCGAGCTTGACAGGTCATTCCTATAAGCAGAAAAAATAAATAAATAAAACCAAAACTTTGATGAATTATGCATATTTCAAACACATGTAAAGGGAGATTAATAACTCATTTTGCTCACTTATTTATCTAAGTAGACTAAATGATAAAAATTTTACTATATGTTAACTTTGCTACATATACTTTTGTTCCAGTGATAAACAAAATACTCACACTGACACACTGACCATGCTATAAGGGTAATATATCATAACATAAAAATTAACAGTTTTGTAGACATAAACCAAAAGAACTCATTATATATATATATATATATATATATATATATATATATATATATATGGAGCTATATGGAAAAATAATATCTTTCAAGAAGCAATATGATATATGAAATAAAATGTACCAAATCCACTCTTTCCTATTCTGTAAATGTAAGATATTTGAGAATCATTTTCCTCTAATTAGAGCACATAAAACAATGCCTGTGTCATTTGGTGAAAATGGATAAAAAAACACATACAGAAAAGTGAAGAGTACCATGTAACATCTACACATAGTTCTTAATAAATTACAAATCACTTTCTTCTTTTCACACAGAAAAAATATACAACAAAAGACCAAAGGACCAAAAATAATTCTCCTAAATTTATAAAAGGTAAATATATTTCTACACTAGTTAATGAAAAGTTACCATGGTCACTCTGTTCTTGTGGACCACTAAGGCCACAAGCTTTGGCTCAATTTTTAATAATCTATAATGCTAAAATCAGTAATTTCGGCCAATTGACATGCTCTAGCATTTTGGAACTAGATCCAGGATATCAAGTTTGAAATTTGCTATATCTACATCATGGTGATCTGATTCACAAAATTTTATTCTCTTTGAAATCACTTAGATTATTATCTTCAAAATTTACTTAATTAAACTGTTATTATCAAATCAATTACTCTCTGAATACTCACTTTTGGAACCACTGAACATAGATAAATTAACACTATGAATTAAATTTAAGTCTTATAATAATCAGAAGACATACATTTCTGTAATATAATAAAATTCACACCTTCTTTTCCCTTAATGTCAGACTTATATCACAAACTATTAAATATAAAATGATAGATGCAATAAGACTCATCCTTTCAATAATTAAGCTCAATTTACACAGGTAAATACAGTTTCTCCCTTCATTCATTTCAGTTGTTCCAGCACATCAGTGATTTCTATCATTTTAAAGTGAGAATACTCTGAATAAAGAAATATTCTATGTTACTTCCCTGAATAATAATAGCAAATACAATATTTACAGTAAGAATAATACATATAACTTAAAAACCACATAAAGTTTTTCTAAAAAGTTAACTTGATCATAAGTTTTTGCTTTATTAAATCTCTCTAAAATCTGGCTTAATGAATATTATCAGTTCTATATTATACAACAATTGGTTATCATTACATTTCATCTTTAAAGATAAAAGAATATAGAAAATAAAAGCCTATCATGTGGGCAGGAGTAAACTCGGTACATACTCTCTATTTTATTCTCATCATTGATATAGTGTTTTTAAAAAAGACACTATTTTGTCCATTTTAAAGGAATTCAGTGCTCAGAGGGATTAAATCACTGTATTTTTCTTGGGTGCAGATTTTCTAGATAAAAGGTGCTGATATCATTCTAATTTCTTTTTGTGTATAGGAGTATTTTAGTTTGCATGATAACTATAACCTTTAAAAGTCCATTTCCAAATTATCACTCTGCATAGTTCAAATAATTCTGTGACCAACTATCAATGTTCCTAATAAGTATTCACTCAGGAATAGTCATTGAAGCACTGACATATGTAGAAAGATAAACTAGTTACAAAGTTGCTTGTAAATTTTATGAGCACACACCCAGCACCACTGTGCATTTTCAGCTTCCTAACCTCTGACTAAATATTGCAAAAGAAGTAATTACAATCACCTCTTCATCAGAAATGATTAAACATCTATTTCTTAAGTTTTTAAAAAAACATTCCTGAGGCAGCTTATTCACTTGCCTCTTCGTAAGCGCCTGTGGCGAGGGCCAGCAGGAGAACCAGAACTCCTGAGATCTGGCCTTGGTGGGACTCAGGTAGCTTATATACCCTCCCTCTTGGTAAATGCCTGCAGCGTGGGTCTGGAGGAGAACCATTACCTGTGAACCTACTGCCACGCAGGCTGAACATCAAGCACCCTTCCCCCAGCTCCCCTCACCCCCATCCCCATAGCTACTGGGGATAGATGTCTCAGCATCTCTTGGGAGGATGACCATATGCAGTATAGCCAATATGGGGGATTTCCTTCTATCTTCTGTTTGAAGGCGAAGGTTATTTTCACTGTTTTGTTTTGTCACGTTTCTTTTGCTCTATTCACTATTCTCAATTGGTTTTATAATGTTCTATTTTTGGTGTGATTTGGCTATACCTAATTGACTAGACAACTATTGTGAAGTTAAAGAGATATACCACAGCACCTATTACTACTATCCCAATATCCTACTGTCAAATCTTGTACCTATTTCACTGCATTGTCTCGATTGGCTTTGTTCTGTCTTGTGCTGTTGCATTTTTACTACTGTCAAAATAAATTTTTTTTTAAAAAAAGCCTGATAGAAGAAACTAGAGGACAAATGAATCTTGTTCCTATCCATTAAAATATGAAATAATAAAACAAATAACATTGAAATATCCTTAAACTTGTGTCTAAGAGCAACCACTCTATAAATGCATAAATTCTGTACATAATTTCAGTTTAAGAAAAAATCAGAAATATGCTTTCCCATTAAGTGGTGGTATTGCCCTTACAATGCTGTTTTAAAGAGTCTTATTCCATTACAAATTTATGGAATAAAACTTATTTCATAAAAAATGTATAAGCAAAATTGCCTGACACAATGGTCCACAGTCACATATTTCTGCATTTTAAAATGTATGGTAGTTGTTTTTGATGGATATAAAAAAATATTGAGAACTGAGTAAATTCAGTGTATGAACTCTGCTCCATTGCTTCTAACAATTTAGTAAATACTGAAATACAATTTCATGAGATCATCACAATCTATCTTTTTGGTTTGTCTGTTTTGTCTTTTTGAGGGAACATTGATAATCACAGCCTTCATTACAGGAGAACACTGATCCTTCTCCTACCATTAGTCTGTATCAATGGCACTGCTTCACCCTTTATTGGATAATGCTTAGATAAAGAGTCTAAAAAGAAGGAAAAACTCTAGGCTTTTAGAGGCAAATGGATACAAGTCACTCTTATATGTAGACATTACATTGACTTACTAGTATAAAACACTGACAAAGTAAAACAGATCAAAAATGTACAATAGCTTTTGTGAAAGAGAAGGGGGAGAAACTGCTCAAAAAGAAAGAATAACTGGGATAAGGAAAAGGAAAAAAAAGACAGAAAAATTATATTTATATATATATTTATAATAATTATATTACTAATCTCTATTAGTTCATTGAAAAGAATGGTTTGTGCTTACACTGTTTGGTCAAGTTTTCATGTTCATATCCTGTAATATGAGCAGCTACTTTGAAGATAGCAACATGCAATATATTACCCATTGTTAATCGCCTATTATCTTGCTTTGAAATTCTGTATCATCATTTTTATTCTTTAAAAAAAAAAACTTCTGTGCAGATGTGATTATATATGGTATTTGCTGTGTCATGGCATTTAGTCTTTGTGTGTGTGTGTGTGTGTGTGTGTGTGTAGCTTTCAGTTATATTGTTTTTAGCACAACATACTCAGGTAGATGATCCACGTACCATCTCTGGCTAAAGGAAACAATGAATGATAACTGAGCTAAAGGTATTTTGAAAATTTAATGATGGACTTGTCATATAACAACTCCTTTTGCTATTTTTACTAAAAACATTTTAAATCTGTTATCTGAATGAACATTCAATTTCGTCAAAGAGAGAAACTTAGAGTGGTGTAAGGCAAAGTTAGGAAAAGAAAAATGTCAAAAATAAAGAGGCTAGACTGCATTGCTTCATTCAAATAGATACACTGCTGCTGGAATACAGCACATTTAACAATAATACATACTCTTTTTAATTTGTGAATCAATGCATGGAATGAATTTTTTTCCACAAAATGTTTTTCATCTAAAGACTCAGAAGTCCCAGCTATTTCCAGTAGCAGCATCTGCTGCTTTGCCAGTTTCCACAGAGATGAGCTCGTGTTGATTTTCACATTTGTTCCAGTCTGGAATCTGGTTGAAACATGCAAACAGTCTTCTCTCCAGCTAAGAGGTGCAATTGCACAGTGCCCTTTCAATAGTATTATTCACCTGCCTTCACTTCAACCCAAATAATATTTTGAGGTACGAAATTAAGCACGACTTATCTTAAAATAATTTAAATTAGAAAAACAACTGTAAGATAAAGCATTCTATACAGAATAATGCTATGGCACTTGCATATTCTTAGAAAACATAATTATATCTACTTTAAAGCTCCTCAATTAAAATTTACATTTTATTTTTTGAACACCATTTTAGAATAGCTTTTGCAAAAAGAAGTAGGTTCCTAGTTACATCTTAGTGTATTATCTAAGCTTCAGACTGGCAATGATAGAAAGTTTTCTATTTTCCAATTTATAAAGCTTTGACATTGATATTTATATATCGACTTCAAATTATTAAAAACTGTGGTGAAACTGGATTTTAACCAAACTAGATTTAAAAACAAAACAATGATCATGGATTGGAAATATCTTCTATCTGTATACCTACATGTGATGTAATTGTGAAAGAAATAGCAGAAAAGCAAATAAAGGTTAACGTTCTCACAAAATTTCTTAGTAGAATTAAGATACTCCCCCAAAATTATTTCAATCACTTGCTGCAAGTCTCCTTACTATGTCCCACGTACTTGTGGTCTCCCCTGCCATTAAGCATACTAAGGCAGAAAATGTTGAGAAACCCTAAAAACTGGAAATATGAATAATATTACTTTTTTTCTATCTTTTAAAATCATTTGAATACAT